AGGCTTTCTACTCCCGTCAAGATTTGCAGCCTTGAAAACCCTGTACAGGGTCGCTATGGATCGGAATCGACCTCGATGGCACTTAACAACAACAACATTATTTGAAAACATTTGAACATTGAATATATTGTGAACATCTACACTTCTCATTTAATGTTCTTTTAGCTCTTGAATTACAATGCAGCACAGAATTTTTCCCTTATTGTCAAGACATGCGGCTTATTTTTCAGCTGCAATTATTCCTGGCTTCTTCATGTGCAAGATGTTTGTTTCTCCCAATGGAGAAAACATGGTAAACAAATACTGACTCTTAAGTAAAAACAAGAAGACTATTATTCTTGGGGCAAGTAAATTATTCTGGTTGGACTGTCATTTGATGTTAAAGGTGCTGGGACTTCAGCCCTTCCAGCCCTGGCTCTCTGAAGGCTCCTTGCTACATAATCCCTTTTACTCTGAATTATTTTTCTTTTGCTGTGGCAGGACTATGGCGGCCCAGGAAGCCACTCCATGCAGCCAGTGTGAGGAAAGCAGCTCTTTGGACCTGCCATCTGCTTCTGACATAAGAGACTACATGCTACAGAAACCCAGCCAGGGAACCAACAGCGAGGCTTTGAGTTCTCTGGAAGCCTTTTCTTTTCCTGGCTCTTCTGATGTGGATCCAGGTAAGCAGCAGAGTTTATAACAAACAGATAGACAGGTATGTCATAGTTTGTTTCTCTTTTTTCAAATAGCAGCTCTCTGAAGCCTGGTTCATTGTCTTGGGTAGAAAAACATCTTACCTTAGCTGTTGGGAGAGACTTCAAAAGAGAGCTCCCTGGTGTGTCACCCACAAGAGATTGCTTCCTGGCAGCCCTTTTTTGTCTTGGGTCTTTTTCTGATCTCTAGCCAAATGCATTCAGTGGCTGGGCACCCTTGGTTCAACCAGGGGAAAGTGGGGTTGTTTTTGTTTTGTTCTTTTAAATTTTTAGCAGAAAATAACAGTGTGGGCCTGTTTTGTGTGATAGGTAATCATAATAGGGACTTTGGCATTCCTTTTGTGCAGTAGCTTTGGATTTAAGTGGCAACTTTTCTACAAGTTTCCCCAAGTGAAGTGCCAAATCTCTTGCTTGAGCCTACTGATAATTCCCTGACATAGGTGTGCCCATCTGTTATGGATTAAATCGTGCCCCCCAAAACTGTGTGCTCTAAATCCTAACTGCTAAGCCTGTGGTTATACTCCCATTTGGGAGTGGGTTATCTTTGGTATATTAATGAGACAGGATGTGTTCAAAGCCTATCTTCAGTCTGTCTCTTTTGAGATAGAAAAGAGATTAAATAAGGAAGTGGAGGAAGTGATAAGAAAGAAGAGATAAGAGAGATAGATGCCAAAGTAGCCAGAAGCAGAAGCTGAAGAGACAAGGACCTCCCCCTAGCGAGAGAACGCCTTCCTCTAGAGCTTGTGCAACCTGAATTCACAGGTTGAAGTCTAGCCCCCTAAAACTGAGAAGAAATATGTATCTGTCTGTTAGAGCCACCCATTTGTGGCCCTTCTGTGGTAGTAGCACTAGAGAATGAAGACACCGTCTCTGCTTGCAAAGCTTACCTCCTCCCTATTCATTACCCAATCCAGTCCTGGTGGTCCACAAGTGCTGAGGCTCGGAGCATGTGTCTTAATGCTGAGCTCTAAAGTCCTCACTACCAAAATGGCACTAGGAATAACTACCTCATGGAATTAGGATTGTGAGAAGTGTTGTCTATACTGACAAACACTCAAGTAATCCAGTCTGTACTCATTTTAGTGAGAGTGAAGTTTTCTTTAATCAATTTGCCAAACTTGGGCACCCAGCCCCATAGACAAGGACAGGCGCACCACATGGCCATTTGACAAAGAGTTTTATTAACCTAACTCGGAAAAAAACCCCTCCTCCATTTCCCCTTTACTGAGTACTTAGGAGTTTACAATCTTTCCCTACTAGCCCCTACAGGGAGCATTCTCATTTAAACTTAGTTTCATGCCCTCCCCATAAATTTCCGCTACTTCTTTGACGGGTGTATTCTTATTTTAAAAGAGTCTAGCAGGTCAAACTAGTCCCTTCCTATTCTCAGAGTACCCTTCTGTCATGCCAACTTGCTACACCCAAGATTTTCTTGATTCTGAAGATGGATCACCAACAGCTATTTCTCACAAGATTAACTATGTAAAGTACTTAGCATGGTGCTTAGCAGATATGGGTGCTCTGTCAATGTAGCCATTATTATTATTATTTCCATTGCTATTGTTATTATTAAGGAGCTCTGGTAGCATAGTGGTCAGGAATCAAATCGGACTGCTAATCTCAAGGTCATCTGTTGGAAACTACCAGCTGTTCCATGGGATAAAGATGAGACTTTCTGCTCCCGTAAAGATTTACAGCCTCAGCAACCCTGTGCAGGGTCACTGTGAGTCAGAACCGACTCCATAGCACATAACCACCACCACCCATTGTTATTACTATTGGGAAATCCAAATATATATTTTAAAAGAGAACTTGTTGGATGTGAAGAAGATGTAACTCTTAATGATAATGAAAGGAGCCTGTGGTGCAGTGGATAAGCACTCCACTGCCAACCCACATGCCGGCAGTAAGAACTGACCCAGTGACTCCATAGGCGAAAGACCCGTCAGTCTGCTCTCATAAAGAGAAGGCAGGGGGAGGCATGGGGAGGAGTGTAAGATTTCAAGGGAACAGAGGTCAATACAGCCTAAACAGTTCTACAGTTAACAGTGACCTATGGGTACATACATGGACAGACTCACAGGCTGAACAGGTATGGAGGGAGAATGGGAGTATGCTCACAAATATTTAAAGGTTTGACAGTGGATATTTGTACCTGGGGATTTACCTAAGCTGCAAGCATATTCATGAATATGGGTGGAGCACACAGGGGGCAAAATTATGAAAACTTCAAAGACATTACCAAACACATTGAAGGAACAAGTTGTTGGGCCTGGGGGTTCAGGACCCTAGTCTCAGGGACACCATTAGCATAATATAGTCCACAAAGACCATGTTTTATTTCCTCTTTGGTGAGTAGTGACTGGGAACTTAAAAGCTCATAAGCAGCCATTTAAGGTGCAACTATTGTTCTCTCCCTGTTTGGAGGAAAAAGAGTGATGAAAATTGAAGATGCTTTGGAAACAGTCCAGTGGACTAATGGACCATGTGAACACCAGTCTCCACAACACTGAGACCAAAAGAACTAGCTGGTGTCCAGCTACCCCAACCAACTGCTTTGAAAGGCATCATATTAGAAGATCCTGAATAGAGTGTGAGAAAATATGTCACAAAACTCAAATCATTAAAACGAAAAAGAAAAAAAAAAAACCAGGCTTACTGGTCAGAGAGAGACTGGTGGACCCCCTAAGACTGTGGCCCTTGGTCACCCTTCTGGTCTGGAACGGAGCTCACCCCTGTGGCTCAGTTTTCACCCAAGTATTAGATAGGTGTATTGGGGGGACAATAACAATACACTATAGAATGGCCAACCATTTAAAATCAAAAGGGCAGCATTTAGCTAAGGACAAAATTCAGAAGGATGGGGAAAGAAGGAGAAATGCAAAGAAGAAACCCAGGGAGGAAGTGGGATGAGTGATATTTACATGGAGGGGATTGCAATCTTGATGAAATTAAGTGAATGATGTGTTGAAGGTAAAACTGATAATTTGCCCTGTAAACCTGCACTCTATTCACAATAAAAAGTTAAAAAAAGAGATTACAGTCTAGAAAACCCTGTGATGGTGGTGGTGTGCTGTGGAGTCAATTCCAACTCATAGCGACCCTATATAGGGTTTCTGAGGCTGTAATTCTTTATGGGAACAGAAAGCCTCATCTTTCTCTTGCAAAACTGCTGGTAGTTTCGAACTGCTTACCCTTAGGTTAATAGCCCAACTCATAACCACTACACTACCAGAGCTCCTTAGAAAACCCTATAGGGCAGTTCTACTCTGTCACATATAGTCACTCAGCGTGAAAACCGATTGGACAATCCCTAACAACAACAACAACGATAATGAAGTCAATGATGGCAGTGGGTAGGGTGTGTGCTTATCAGTGTCTTCAAGAATTCTATGAAAAATACTTTAAAATTCCTTTATGATTTGATTCTAGTTCTCTGGACACAGAATAATCAGGCTCAGTCAGCCTTCTGACTAAGGATTAGATTATTCCTTGTCCTTTTTATTTCTAGACATGGTACCTTAGATCCTTTCCTTTTCCGTCTTCCGCATCCTTAAAGTTGATTGTCTTCATCATCTCTGTCTAGCAGCAGCATTTCCTAGAAGATGTGAATAGACACCTTTGGAAGTGTTGGTCTGTTGAAATCCTTCAGGAAAATGGCTCCTGTCTTTAAGGGAATTCAGCATAGACTCGGTTTAAATTTTTTTTTTTTAATTGTCTTTCTTGGAAAGTGACAGTTAATCATTTGAATTTGGACAACAGTTCTAAGAGTAAGAAGTATGTCAAAATATTTATAGTAGAATACTGGTTAAAACTCTTTAACTACTTCATGCATAAAGGGCTCTTTTGGAAACCCTTGTTAAGGTTGCAACATGGGAAGGAGCACTCAAATGCTGGTGCTGCCTGGTATGAATTCTGGTTTTACTTCTTCCTTGTGTTTGACATTATGCAAGCCACTTAGCCTCTCTGTTCTTGTTTCCTCACTTGCAAAATGGAGATAATAACACCTGCCTCATGGAGAAAGGTGATAGTGATGAATGAGTATCTGACATACAGTGGGCTCTTGGGAAATCCAGCTCTTCATCACTCAGCACCTGGGCTGCTCAATTCAGCACTATGTCGATTGGGTTCCCCTTCTGTTCATGACCTTCCACCTCAAGTGAACCCTTAGTGCTCTGCCCATCCATCATAGACCATTTTCCTCACATACTTCCTTACCCACTGTACTGGGTGATTGTTTCAGATCTTCTCTCTCTGCAAATCACTGTTACTTTCTTTTCCACCTTATAACTGTTTCCTCTCTCATCAAGAAAGCAGGAGCAATCAGAAGAGAATGTCCACACTCCCATGCTCCAGGTCTACCAGCTTCCTTCCATCCTGTTTCCAGGAAGATAAGTCCCTGTCGTATCCTCCACTAGGTCCTGTCCACTCTCACTTCTCAAGGATGTCACCTCAGCAATTGTCTCTCTCTCTCTTGCATCATCCATTCTCCTCTCTACTGGCTTATTCTCATCACTGTCCAAATATACTGTAAAATCTCTCATGATAAAACAATTCCTCTTGACTCCCAATCCCTTTACACTGCTTTGTTTTCTACAGAAAAACACTTTAAAGGGTCACTTACCCCTGAAGCCTCTAATTCTCTTCTCCCATTTCTCCTAAAACTCTCCAACCCAGATCATATCCCCATCACTCCATGTAAATAGCTTTTGTAGTGAAGGTTCACAGAGAAGCATATGCTTTATTTCATCTCAATGATTGCGATCCCTTCCACGCAACAACAGTCCCGCTTCCTCCCTGTGGTTCCTATTTCCACTCCACTCATCTTCCCGTTAACATCTTGAATGATTGACCATTCCATGGTAAGCAGACCTCA